GAATACAGAAGCTTCATCGGCTTTGTAACTTGTCCAATCCTCGTTCTAAAATTAGGGTATGACTCTTAACATAAAAGAAGCCACGCAAAGCGCACGCTTCCCAGAAGATTTAGAAGACTCAGAAAGAAGAAGGGTGTCGTAACAGTTTTATATACAGTTCACACAATATCAAAATGGTAGAAAGCAGTATTTAGCACATTAGACTCAAACACGTAAAAAATCATACAATCATGAAAGCCAAGCATAACAGTTATTTAAGCTCGAATTCTGAACCCTAATCCAGAGATTCTGGGTTCGGTCCCCAGCGGAGTTGCCAAAGCTGTCACACCTCTTTTTTCCGAGGGAATAGGGAGTTTTTCCAATTAAAGTGACATTATTCGATATGAGATTATTTATTTAATTCAGAATCGCCACTTGAGATAATTATTAAGGTGTTCCAAGTCACCGATTTAGTTTAGAATCCCAAATCAAGGAAATTGACTCTATTTTTGGTCTGCGAACACAGAAAACTGGGTAAGGAGTTCTGTTAACCCGGGAGAAGGTGTGAGGCACTCCCGAATTCCGTAATTTTAGCACGGTCGCTTAACTATTAATAATTGACCTAATCGATATTTTGTCTACGCCATAACTGATCCAACGAAGAAAATTCAAACAAGCGAGAGGCAAAGGGCTAAAACAATTCTGATTTCATATTAAAATAAAGCTGAAACTACAGATGTGAGAAGAAACATACCTAAACACAGGAGCAAATCTAGAAGAGCAAATTGCCGAACAAAGGCCAAAATCAGAAGTTGGGGCTAAGCAACAGCATGTAAATAAACAACAAACAACAGCGAAAATCGATTCTATAGCTCAAATAACACTCGGATTCCCAGAAATTATGGAGTTGAAAACAGCCTTGAAATCCCATTTTTATTTCTGTTTTTGTTTCGTGTTTTTTGGAGTCCTTTTGAAATCTTAGATCTGGATTTGATTCCAGATTTTCTATGCTTCTAGTGTGTAAATTGTGTGTGAATGAGATCAGATAGAGTGAGGTGAGAATTGTGTGTGAGTATTTTGTCAAAAAAATGGTATAAATGGGTGTGTATATGTGTGTGTTTATGGGTGAGATCCGTCTCTTCTCTTTTGAGAGCATCGGGTGGCGGCTAGGTTTTAGGTTAAGGGGAAGGGATCTGTTGTGTTCTCTGGGGGGATTTTTGGGAGGTAGGTTATTTTAATGAGTGAAGAGAGGGATGATGGGCCTGGCGGGTCGGGTAGATGGGAATTGGTGGGATTGGGTTGGGAGAAAAATTTGGGCTGCTGGTCAACTTGCCCAATTTGAAGATAAGGCAAATCGCCTTTTCTTTCTTTTCTTTTCATTTTCAAGAATAACCAGTTTATTTAACACTCCTAATTTCAACTAATTTGTAAAATTAATCTAATAACCTATTTTTCTACAATTGACTAATTCATTTAGCTAACAAATGCATGTAAAGTTACTAACGTATTTTTGATATTTTTAGTGTTTTACAAATGCAATTAATTATGCAATTAAAATCTAAAAATATAAAGATTCAAAATATTTTGGTATTTTCTTTAGGATTTAAAATGCAACTTAAAAATGCATCAAATATGAGTATGTACAAAGCAAAGTAAGTAAAATAAATATAGAAAAATTCTTAAAATTCTATAAAATAATTTAAAGCTTTTTTTTGAAATTTTTTAGGAGTAATTTTATATTTGGAAAAAATTACGTGCTCACAGAATGTAATATAAATTATCACGATGTTTATTAGATGCGATATTCCTAACTAATATTGTTATCAAGTTGATATCTTCTTACTAATTTTAATATAACTTCAAAATATCTAATCAAAACAAATAAAACTAACAATAATGGAACTCTCACTATTTTTATGCTATAATTTATACTTATAAATATTAGTATAATTTTAAAAATATTATTTAATTAAAACTAACAAGATCTGAAACTCGCACTGCCTATATGTTTTGGTTTTAACTTATAAGTTGAATAAATATTTTTGAATGATATATTGGGTTAAAAGTTTAATATTTTTTTTATATAAATTTAATAATAGGTGCAGGGATTACACGTGCGAAGCACGTGACATAAGACTAATGTGGCCATATTTAGGCCAAAGTGGTGTGGTCGTTTAGCAGCCTCTTATGGTTATATACTTCCCCCTTTTAAGAGTAAAAAAATGCTAAAAGAGAAAGCAATCTCTTACGAGAGCTTTTAATAAATTATGTTTCATTTTGAAACGAGAAAAATCATCCATCGTTATCAGAGGGATTATATCTTTCAACGCCTCGGCAATAAACCACCAAAATCATTGGCTTTAATTTAGTGGTTCAAATTTTATTCATGAACCAAACAAACGTATTAAAGTTTTCAACGTATTAATAGTAGATATGCTATTGCAGAATGTCATCATCCCCATCTATCACGATGCCTCTACTAGTCTTTGAAAGATTGTTGTGGTACCCATGACTCTAGAAGCCATTTAAGATTTATAGTTAATACATCCATTTCTAACCAATACAATCACTTTTTTTAATGATCCTATTAGAAATCTTTATTAATCTTATAGACTATCAATATCATGTAACTATTTGCGAATATTACAATTGTACTAAGTTTTCCCGCTATATATTATTCTATGTTTATCTTATTTCAAAACAATTTCGATTATAAGAATAATCATTCTGACGTGTATTTTTAGGTAATAATCATTCTGACGTGTATTTTTAGGTAATAGAAGATTAGGAAAAATAAAAATTTCTTAAAGATGAGATCCATTAAGCACTTACTAGTGTTCAATAAGATGGCAGATTTCCGTTGGTCTTTGGGATCCTAGAATAGATTTTGACACTACAAAGATAACCAATAGGAAAGAGACTTTAGATTTATTTAAATTATTTTGTTGGATTCTTTCTGATCTACTTCGTTTATGATTTCATTCTAAAGCATATAAAGACAATTAATTTATGTTTGATAAAGTTTTGTGCAAGTACTTTACGGTTAAAAAGCAATTGTCTCTCGTACAAATCTAGGAGTCAAATTGGTCCTGAGTAATGCTCATGTCATTGTAGGCCTAAGTTGTGATGGTGAAATCTAAATTTCTTGTATTTGAAAGTTGGTAACCCCTAAACTGACCAAGAGTGATTTTTCCAATTGAATACAGTTCCCTCTTTTCAATTATGTGGTATAAGTATGAATATGCATGAAGTTTAATAAAGAAAAGGGTCTATTGAAACTTATGACGTTAAACATGTCATCGTGGTTATAAAATTATAACAAAAGGTTTAATGTTGAATATTACAAATATAGAAAAGTGTCTTTTTTTTTTCCAAATAGACTAATAAAAAAATAATGTCATATGAAAGGAAAAGAAGAAAGTAATAACCATGCAAAGAGGTTGAAATTAAGGATATAGTGAAATCTTAACTTGTAGGTTACTCAGCCTTTTCTAAGCCTGATGATAGTCGTTTCAAACAAATTTCCAAGCCGTTTGTCTTTTTAACAACTAACAAGTTAGAAGAGAGTTGGATCAGTTAACAAGAAAAGAAATCCCATTATTCACTCATATCATTTTCATGAAGGGTAACATACACCAGTGAATGTGCAAAAAACTGAGAGACATTCTCATCAAATGAAAAAACAAGGAAAAAAGAAAGAGGGGGTGAAATTGGAAGAGAACTGTTGTTACAAGGAGATGTCACTTCACCATTAAAATGTTGGAAAAAACTTGGACACAATCCCTTTCAATGGGCGGCGCTTCAAAATACATAACGAAGTTAAGTAAAAATAGATGGGGGGGAAGATCACAGAAGATAAAAGTTTTCCCCCTTTATCTAGACAAATTTTTTTATCTGGTCAAGGCCAAAAGCTTCTCTTTGTTCTCTAATTAACATTGGATTTCTCATCCTGCCTCTCCCTTTCTTGTGTAAGATTCATTAAGCTTTCTCAAACTGTATAATGCTGCTGGATCGTTTCGATATCCAGACCTTTCAGCTTCACCACTGACTCAACGTGACCCTTGAGAGTATGCAGCTCGCGAAGCCTACAACACAGAGAATGTTCCATTAAAATTCTGTTTACCAAACTCAAGACTAGAAAGTTTGTAGAATGAAATAAGTTAGTAAATACCTGGCCATCTCTGCTCTCCTCTTTGCTTGTTCGGCGATTTCAGACAGTTCCCTGTAGCTGTTCTTCTCATTGAAGAGATTTGTGGCTTCTGGTGGTTGAAGCCCATGTAAAGTTCTCTGAGCAAGTGCCCATTGAGCTTCCCTCTCTTCTTTACCATAGTCTTTCTTGGTGGTGAAAGCAGTCTGTTTTTAGGCCGAATGTCAGAAATGGCTCGTGTTTATGAAGTCACGGAAACGATTGAATTTAAAGAGGATGTCAGTTGGTCATGCGAAGAGTAAAGTATACCTTGTTATCGAGCAAGTTATTCCAAGCCTTACCACTTAAGATGTAGCGGATGGCAAATTTCATTATGTCAAGTGGGAAGTAGAAAACAATGCTGTAAAGCCAGATGACACCAGCCCATCCCCAGCCACATCCTTTGACTCTTGCAAAAGCCCAGTTGGCATATACAGCAATTAAAGTGGCAACCTGAAGCATCCATTAATAAGTTTAGTACTACTAGCTTTCGGACCTCAAGAAAAAACAACTTCATACATGCTTAAGAACTAGAAAACAGATATCTATTTTTGGTTTTAACCAGAAGATTTTAATATTTGTCGAAGAACTCCAACACTTACCAGCTGGGCAATCATGAAAGCAATAACTAACAGCATTCCCGGGCGTTCAACGAAGGACCAGCTGCGTGAACGGGTCACAAAAATCAAAGCCTGGCTGATAATACTCACTTGCAGGTACAAAGCAGACATCATTTCTTCATCACTATTCCTAAGAGACTTAACACCAAATTTGTCCTGTGGCAAAAAATGGAAGACACCGGTAGAAATGGTCATTAGAAAAGGAACTACAAAAATATTTGGAGTAAAAGAATCATAATATGTTTAGTCCTTACCGAGAAGAAATCAGTGTCATGCATGGCCCAAAAGAAAACAACAGTCATCAGTGCCTGGTAACCTCCAAGAACAACACCAGTTGCAAAGATTTCTTTCAATTTCCAGCTATCGGGCATTGGAGATGGTTTCACTCTATCCTTTGAGATTGTCATAATGGTTCCTGGACCAAGAAATGTATGTCAGTCCTGGCAAACGAGGTAACGTGAATGCATGATTTTGTTAACAAAAGGATCTCTGTAGAAATGACATTACCGTCGTTTAGGATGGCAATGATCAAAACCATAAATGCAGAGAAGTCGTACTTCCATATCAGAGCAATAAACATGAAACCAAACTGCAGACAGGAAAAACAAGAGCAAAGAAACTCAAACCTCAAAAATTCAATGAGTTAATGTCTTTATCACATTTAATTTCCACTTAGGACATACCACAATACGGATAGTGATGGAAACTGCATATATCTGCCAAAACAAAAGTTAAACGAAATTAATGGGGCTTTTTATAAGAAAAATTAAGACGTGTCAACTGGAATAAAATATTAATGGGGAAAGATTGACTAACTGTGTAATTCTTCATCCTCTGGAAAATAGCTCTACTGGTCAACACAGCACTAATGATAACACTTAGACCTGGTTCAGTGAGCACGATATCAGAAGCACCTCGTGCTGCATCAGTAGCATCTGCAACAGCAATTCCGATATCTGCCTTCTTCAAAGCAGGAGCATCGTTGACACCATCACCAGTCATTCCCACAATGTGCTTTCTCTCTTGCAACTTTTTCACAATTTCATACTTGTGCTCTGTGCAACAAGAAAAGAAAATGATCAGTCTCTTTTCATCATCCATATTTAAGGTTTGGTAGTTGTAGATACTTCCATTAAACAAAAGATAAAATCGAAAAAGAAAATCACTCACCAGGAAATACTCCAGCAAATCCATCTGCCTTCTCGATCAATTCTTCTACTGGAAGTGAAGCAATGGCTGAATCCTTGTCTTGACCAAGTAAAGATGCTGATGGGTACATGTTTGTTCCCATTCCAAGCCTACGGCCAGTCTCCTTAGCAATAGCCAATTGATCCCCTAGAAATCAAAAACCGTAAGTTACATATACATGAACTAGCATTGCCTTGAAGGAAGAGTCTGATTCTGAGTATAGTACCAGTGATCATCTTAACATTTACACCAAGGTTGAGAGCTCTACGGATGGTCTCAGCACTATCATGCCTGGGAGGATCAAAGAGGGGTAGCAATCCTACAAATTCCCATCGGCCACCAAGGCTCTCTTTTGATTTCTCTGGTACTTCCTGCAAACAAACAAGTTAAACAACGATAAGACAGCTGCAGGGAGAGAGCATATATTCGGGCCTATACCTGCAAACTCAAAATAATCCAAATTTAGTATTACAAACCTGTCTAGCGACAGCCAATGATCTCAACCCACGCTCGGCGTATTTATCAATCATTGCGTGAACCTTTCTCTTGACATCTTCCTTAGAGTTACAAAGGTCCAAAATCTGATGCAATAGAGCAAAATTGTAATATCAGTAACAAGAGTATTACTCAAACTTATACAGGAAACCAAGGGAAAATGTAATTGAAACTGAAAACCTACCTGCTCAGGAGCTCCCTTGCTGGCACGATGCCAGTTGCCATTGTTGTCAATATATGTTAAAGCAGTTCTCTTGTCCACTGGATTGAAGGGCAAGAAATGCACCTCCCTGATACCAGCTCGTGCCTAGAAATCAAAATAGGTTAAGCATGAAATTTCATTGTAAAGTTAATTTAAGCATGAAAATTTACATTTTAAAGTTAGTCCACATAGATGAGAAACTGCAAAAGGAAAAGAGATGTACCTCCTTTGGATCTGCAAGCATTCCGACCATGCAAGCATCAATTGCATCCTGATTTTCTACTCTAGAGGCCCTTGCGGCAAGGAGGAGCACGTGCTCTTTATCTACTCCCTTTGCAAACACCTCAACCAAGTTTTTGTCAACACTCAACTTGTTAAGAGTCAAGGTACCAGTCTTGTCACTGCACAGCACATCCATTCCAGCCATCTCTTCAATTGCAGTCATTCTCTTAGTGATGGCACCTTGCTGGGAGAGCCTATGTGATCCAATAGCCATAGTGACTGACAACACAGTTGGCATAGCAATGGGAATGCCTCCAATCAAGAGCACCAACAGATTGTCAATTCCATCCCTGTACTTCCTGTGCTGAATTGGGTACATGACTATAATCTCAACGAGCATACCAACAGCAATTGAACAGATACAAAAGTTTCCGATGGAAGTTAGCACTTTCTGGAAATGCCCAACATTGTTGGTGCTGTCAACAAGATGTGCTGCCTTCCCGAAGAAAGTGTGAACTCCAGTAGCAATAACTACAGCTTCAAGTTCACCTTGTTTGCAGGTTGAGCCAGAGAAAACTTCATCCCCAGGATTCTTGGTCACAGGAAGAGATTCTCCAGTAAGAGCAGATTGATCAACCTTTAAAGGATCACCTTCAAGAAGACGAGCATCAGCAGGAATGATGTCTCCCAATTTGACACTAATAATATCCCCTGGAACCAGAATAGCGGCTTCCTGTTCACTCCAGCGCCCATCTCTAAGCACCTACGGTCAAACAGATAATTTAGAATGGGAAGCACTAGTATTTCATTTTAAAAAAAAACGTGCATATTCAATCAGATTTGCTAGTTTGATACCTTCGTTTTGGGAGCAAGTCCAGCCATAAGAGCTGCAGCAGCATTTCCAGCATTGTTTTCTTCAATAAAACTGATAGTTGAATTGATCACCAGCAAACAAATGATACCAATAAAGTCTTGCCAATCCGGGGGCTTTCCATTTCCATTAGCCAGTGCAATTGCCATGATAGCAGCAGCTTCCATGACCCATGAGAGAGGATTCCACATAAACCCAAGGAACTTGAGTAATTTGCTTTCGTTTTTCTCTTCCAACTTGTTGGGTCCAAAGATTTGAAGCCTGTTGGCTCCTTCGTCGGCACTCAGACCCTCGCGGGTACATTTCAGCTGTTCAAACACTTCTTCAATGGGGATTTTCTCCTGCAATTTCAAGAAGATAAAACAGCCGATTAGCAAAATTAGCCTACTCATTCATCTTCAAATTGTTTTTTACATCACAATTAATAAAAACCTAGTCACATTTTTAGTTCAATCCATAAAATGAAAAAGGCCATATATTATAACTATTTCACTGTGTACAAACTTTAGCTAGACAAAATTTCATATGTAGGTTAGCTTTGAAAGTTAAGCTGAACTAAGTGTAGTGGCTAAAACACATCCAAGTCCATAAACTAGGTCCATCTGATGATGTGATATCACCCAATTTTGATAGTTAAGAGCATAAAAAACATACAGAGGACAAAAACTGACATTTCCTTTTGCATAACAAATTTTGTGTATTCCTATTCCATCCAGATTTTAGTATTTGATGTTCCAAAATGAAATAAGAAAATAAAAAGTCCAAGGCTCCATCTTTATCATATAGGAAAAAGAACTGAAAAAGGGAAACAAAAAGTCCCAGGTCTAATCACTTTCAATAGATATATGTCCCTGCTCCTAAATACATAAAGCAACACTATATCATCATTACCCAAACAAAAAAAATGTCATTAGTTAAGTAGGTACTGATAAAATATTATTATAGTGGTTTCAATGTATTGCTATTTTATATTTCTTTTGGCTAACTACCTTGATTCTTATTTTATTTATTTTTAATTGATAAGTATCCTTTTCTATACCTGTAATTCACATGAATAATTCAGAAAGTCATATGGATGTGTGAGTCATTTAAGTTGACTTTCCACTATGTGGGTCCCAAAATAAGTGGACCCCAAAAAATGGAGCTCCCAACCCTCAGACAATGGCCTTGGATTAACAACCAATCACAGAAGCACAACATGAAGGGATAATGGGCCACGCGCTTTCCACATGGAGCACCATCGCGTGGGATTCACGCGCTAGAATATGGGCCCGCAACCCATTGTCTCCGCCTACTTTAACGGGGCATCTTTGAAATTAATGCCAAGTTGAGGGGTAAACATATTAAGTTTGTTTTATTTAATAGTAATAACAGCGGAATCCAAGAAAAGCTGTCAGTAGTCAATAGTCAGAACCATTATTTAAGGAAAAAGTAGGCAGAAAAAATGGAAAATGTGAAAAAGAAATCAGATAAGTTAGAGCCGTTAATAAGGTTGAAATTCCCAAATCACAACTATCCACACCAAGTGCAGGGTACCACGGAAAAAGTACAAAAGAAAATTCCCTCGAATATAAATCAGACAGAAACTTTCACTAAAAGACATGGTTTAACCTATAAACCACATTTAGAAATCCCCCCATCCCCTCCCTCAAAAATAAACAATACATCTAAAAATATTTATACAAGATTTTTTACCCTTCACTCCCAATCTATTTCAATTTGATTAACCGCTGGAACCTTGTTTAAAACAATATTCCTTTTCAACACATAATATTTTTTATTTATACTTATAGTGAAAAAAATGAAGTTTATTACTTGTGGTTTCCTTCTTAGTTTCAATTGAATTGATCTAAGCATCAGAGTCAAGAATTGAGGAGTTTTTATTGGGAAAAGGGTATTAAAATTCATTTTCTCCTCTTACTTGCAAAAGTGTTCCACTAACAGAAATGATAATGATTGGTCAGGAAAATGTGGGGAAAACGGAACCGTAGAATCAGATGCTCGAATTTATTTCACTTTTTTATTGGGGGCATAAAACGAATCTGATTTCTCTTATTGAGGATATAAAGGTAATTTGAATTTATTATTTCTTGTTTATATTTCTGTATTTATTTATCGTGCTGTGACAGATCATGCTAACTAACAAACACGTGAAAGAAGATTGAAGGAATAAGTTATCTTTTTGTGAACATAATTAATAAAGGAAAATGGCAAAAACTTTAACAATCTTCACATATAGCCTTAAAATTTTACACAATCTTTTTTTGGCTTTTTCTTTTAACTTTATATATGTATGAGCATGTGAACATATATGTCATTTAACTTAAGAAAAAATGATGATAACGGATCTTGTATAACCTACTCCCACCGTTTCAATTTATGTGAATATGTTTGATTGGACACGGAGTTTAAGAAAAAAATGAAGACTTTTGGAATTTGTGCTCCTAAACAAATCAAAAGGGGGCCCACAGTATTTGCGTGATTATAAAAGCTTCTCATTAAGGGTTAAATTGTAAGTTTAGACAAAATTGTTTGCAAATTTAGAAAGTGGTCATTCTTTTTGGAACGAACCAAAAAAGAAATAAGTTCATATAAACTGGAACAGAGGTAGTACATATATACCAAAACAAAATAATTTATGCTAACCTCAATTTCAAATTGGGCTTCTTAATTCAACTATATATCCAGGAAAATTCAGAACGAAACAAATTTTATCTTATTAAATAATAAAAGTTCTGTCAATATACAACAAGATGCAAATAACATATTCAAAAATAATTAAAGCAATAACTAAAACTTTTAGTCTATGAAGTCCGACTTTGTTTGAAATAAACCATAATATTCCATAATTAACATTATTTGGTTCGACCACCGTTATTAAAATACAGTATTACATAAGCATATGTATACAGGCATGATCTATATATATATACACACACAGATCCATATACACACATGTGAAAGTGTGTCTACGCATACAAATTCTATACATTCACACACAAAAGACAGACACTTACTATGCATATGGAGTATATACTGAAAATTTAGAGAAGAAATAAAATCGATGGACGAGCGAATAAAGAGCTTTCATTTTTTTTATTAGTAGAACAAAGTTAAAAATTTTAGCAAGGCAATATAATAAAGGTTACTTCAGTAAAACTTGTTTACTTGTAAGGAAAAAGTAAACAAAAGCATGCCATACTCGAAAGCAAAGTATCTCATTCCTCATTTCATTTAATTTGACTTTTTTTCAAAGGAGCCAAACAAAAGATCAGTCTAATCATAGTCCATCGAAATTATTAATAAAAAGAACACAAGGAAAGAAAAAGAAGAAAATCAAAATTAGGATTTCCTCAATTTCGTATCCTTTATTTTACTTTATTTTCCTTTTCCTTTTCCTTTTCCATTTGAAAATTGAGATCGCTAGAGCAATATTTATAACCAAATGGAATAAAAAAGGGGGGGAAAGTTATTCAAGGAAAAAACCAGTACAGCAAAGATGAAAAATAAACGAAAACAGTAGAAGAAAATAAGTGGGTTTACCAGATCAACAGTCTCATTTTTTATCTCTTCGAGGCTGATAGCTTTTGCCATCTCTGCTCCAGGGGAAAATCAAACCAACGACGAAACACCAAAAGAAAACGATTGATTGATCACACGGTATAAATCATTGAACGGTAGAATTTTTTGGATGTTTTTTTCAGAAACCCCAAAATGAGATTTGGGGATTAAGGGAAATGGAACGGCGGAAGGGCAACAAACAGAGGTTTATGATTTTTGCCTCTGTGTTTTTTTTGCGATTGTCTTTGTAGAGAGAAATTGTGAGGTATAAGGCTTGGGCCTGAGACTCCCTTTATATACTGGACACTCCAGCAGTGTAAACACACCTCACCAGCTATTGCCTATTGCCTCGACCATGATATAATAATAATACTACCCCACTAGTGCCTCTCCAAAAAAGAAAAAAAACCTTCTCTGACTTTTATTTTATTTTATATTTTCCTTTTCTAAACGATATTCTTTTAAAAATTTAATAGGGGAAGAGAGAGGGAAAAAAGAAGAGAGAGTTATCCTTGAATTAAATGAGTGTTTTTTAAAAAAGAAATTATAGTCCGAGTATAGAATAATGGAATCAAATGAGAATTTCTTTTAAAATTATTGGGCTGACTTTGGATCACTATTTCATATAAATACGGATCCGATAATTAACTATATTGTGCAAGAAAGAAATAAGTTCATATTGGATTAACTTAAATAACACTCTTATCGTGTGCAATACTTGAAACCAACAAATTTTCTAATTATCGGGATCTTCCATCCTTATTCAGAGGTTTTAGAGCTCGAGACTATTTTTTTTTTTATAGAAAACATTTTACTCCTCTTACTGAACTTACTCGAACTAATCTGAATTAATCTAATCAATAGGTTTTTGATACCAAATGATGAATAGAAAAACAAAAGAAATGTTGCTTGCAAAATTTGATTTTCTAGATTTTCCATTTTATTATTTTGTTCTAGTCCCATAATTGGATTACATAGTATAAGAATCTTACGTAAGTATACGAATCTATTATATAGTATTTGATGAATTTATACTTCTATATATGCAATTAAATATATTCTTTTCCAATATTCTATTTTATGGAAATTAGTTTATCATTATCTCATTTTTAAGGAACGTAACTAACATTCTAACAATATTACCAAAGGCCATCATGGAGTTGGCTAGAGCATTTAATTGGGAAATGTCGGGAATAAAAGATTAATATATTTGCCTAATATTCTAATTTATGTATATTTTTACAAGAATACTTCGTAAAAGGAAATAGACAAATGTTTAGTGTTGTGACAAGTAGATTTGTTTGAAGTAAAAAGATAAAGAAATCCACTTGCAATTATTCCATATTAAATGGAAACATATAAATATTACCTCTAATCGAAAATCAATCAATTGACATACGATATCCTCAAAATATTGATAACTAAAAATAATTTTGGAATTTAATTTATATTATTAGTGTAATTGTTTTTGCACGTTCAAGTTACTCAAATAATATTTACTGGTCAATCTCTTAAAAAAATAAATTTATAATCTTGAAAAATAAGACATATTACTTATTAAACTCATAATCGTGTTTTTCTTTTTGTTCTCTTTCTTCTTAACTATGATTGTCTGTGATTAAGCATAGATGCATTGGAGTGCCAACCAGTTCAATCCTCACAAACGCCGTCCAATTTGGATTGCTAGTGTGGTGGCCCCACATATTAAAAATTACATAACGTAAAGACCAAAATACCCCTACGGATTCTTTACTCAACCTGGCATTCTCCCATCTTGCGTTATTTATGGCTGACTGACTGTTAGCTCTGTCCAAGAATTGCATCATTTTGGAGGCACTTATTCAGGCAGTTATTTTGTTTTATTCTTTCATTTTCCGTTTCCTTTTTATTTCCAGTTATTACTCAATTCCCGATTTACCATCAGTTATACGGCGGAAGCAAGTAGCAAAAATGGTATAGTAATATACTCCTTATTTCTCAGTTTTATTTATGTATACGGTTAAAATCGGGCCTATGACGCCCCGATTTTCGATAAGGTAAATCAAGCAAGTGATGTGATGATAAGGAGTCGGAATCGAGGCAAGGGTCTCATCAAGACAGGGTACGGGGGCACAACGCCCGCCTTCGAGAATATCGGGGGCCATGATCCCGTGATCGGTCCAAATCCCAAAAGACTTCAGAAAGCATTATCGGGCTACCGAACACGATTAACAGAGGGCTGTGATATCCTTGACCAGCCAGATATCACGGCGTAGATCTCGGCACGTACCGACGAAAATCCAGTGATTAGTTAAATGGAAGATTTTTTACCTTTTATGGAATTGTACCTAGAGTAGGACTCTCATACTATATAAAGGAGGGTCTAATTGTTCATTGAACACATTGTAACACACATATCAAAGCAATATACTATTATTTTTCTGTTATTCAAAGTTCTTACACTTGTTGATTAGTGTTCCATTACTATAAGTCTGGGATCGAGGACGGATATCTCATTGAGGCTGCTGTCGAGTCCAGAATCATCCACTTCCCCTTGTTTTCGAGTGGTTAGATAATTTATTACATCTTTTATCTGTTCAATCTAGCAATATTTACCGTTTGTATTGAATTAATCCACATATCTTGAAAATCACCAACAAATTTAATTGTTATCCGTTTTTAGGATAAACAGTTTGGCGTGTATCGTGGGGCTAAGAATAATAATGGCAATTTGATACAAATCTCCATAACACACCCTATTTTACACTTGTTCTTTTAAGTGTTTTTAATTTCAGGTCTAAGTTTAAAATGTCGAACTCCTAATCTGCTCCTCTGAACGTGGATGCTGAGTCTCGCCACTATGGCGAGAACACCAATATGGCACTCAGTAACGAGGTACCCCCTGTCGACCCCAACGGAGTTCCGTCCGCGGACCCGATCGACGCTAACTCACATGTGGCCATCAATGATAATATGCCTACCAATTCTGAGAACAGCATCCGCGGGGGAGTCCATTCGGTATCCCAAAATACACACGACGGTGAAGGTGATGGAATCAACTTGCGAATAATCTTTGAAATGTTGCAGGCTCAATAACCAGTGATAGCCCAGTTGCAGAATCAGAGCCGCCCCCCAGCAAAGTCGAGCCCGAACTATCCCGGGAGAATGCTCGCAAAAACGAACCGATCGTAGAAAGGTCGAGTGAATCCGAACCCGGGACCAAACTCGAGATCATAAAGATGCTTAAGGAACTGACAAAACGGGTAGAATCGGGAGGAAAAAAAATCGAAGCCAATGACAAAAAGGTGGAAACCTACAATTCCAGGGTCGACCAAATCCCAAGAGTACCACCGATATTGAAGGGCATGAATTACAAGAATTTTGTTCAAAAACCTTTTCCTTCCGAGTGCAGCTCCGAATCCAATCCCAAAGAAGTTCTGCATGCCCGAGATTCTTAAGTACAACTGAACAACTGGCCCAAATGAGCATGTGGCCTCCTATACGTGCGCCATCAAAGGGAACTACTTGGAGGATGATGAGATCGAGTCTGTCATGTTGAAAACGTTTGGGGAAACTTTGTCAAAGGGAGTTATGATATGGTATCACAACTTACCCCCTAATTCTATTGACTCATTTTCTATGCTTGCAGACTCCTACGTGAAAGCAAACGTCGGAGCCATCAAGGTCGAGACCAGAAAGTCTGACCTTTTCAAAGTGAAACAGAGAGATAATGAGATGCTCAGTGAATTCGTGTCCCGATTTCAAATAGAACGAATGGACTTGTCTCTGATCGCTGATGATTGGGCCGTTCATGCCTTCACCCAAGGACTCGATACTCGAAGCTCATTGGCTTCACAGCAGTTGAAGCAAAATCTGATAGAATATCTGGCGGTAACTTGGGCCGACATCAATAACTGGTACCAATAAAAACTCAGGGTCGAAGATAATCAGCTTGGGGCCCCTTCTGGGTCTGTTTACCGCGTCAGAGCTGGTGACATATCCAAAAGAGACATTGATCATGAACCGAGATTGAATAGGTATAGGTATCAACCATACAATAGAGATCGAAGAGGTAATGGATCTGGACGAAGCCCTATGAAAAGTGAAAGGAAAAGCGACCAAAGTCAAAATAGCGGGGGTCTCATGAGCAAAAGCGGTTTTGATAGATTCGTCGTACCTAAGGAAGTGCCAAGGCTATCGGAATACAACTTCAATGTCGACGCTGTTGACATCGTATCTGCCATCGGACACATCAAAGATACGAAGTGGCCTTGACGTCTACAGTCTGATTCTGCTCAAAGGGACCCCAACCTAATATGCAAATATCATGGCACTCACGGCCACAGAACTAAAGAGTGCCGACAACTAAGAGAGGAAGCAGCCCGGTTATTCAACAGCGGACACCTTCGGGAGTTCCTGAGCGATCGAGCCAAACATCACTTCAGGAATAGGGACTCCAATAAGCAAACCGAGCAGGAGGAACCTCAGCACATCGTCAATATGATCATTGGTGGGGTCGACATCCCCTAAGGACCGATGCTAAAATGCACTAAAGTGTCCATCACAAGGGAAAAATGGACTCGGGATTACATGCCAGAAGGAACCGTATCTTTCAATGACGAGGATGCTAAAGGCATCGTACAACCGCACAATGATGCACTAGTAATATCTGTACTCATAAATAAATCTCGAGTTAAGCGTGTGTTAATTGATTCAGATAGCTCGGCCAATATCATCAAATTGAGGGTCATAGAAAGCTGGGTCTACAAGACCAAATTGTGCCTACAGTCCGAGTTCTAAACGGATTCAACATGGCATGTGAGACCACTAAAGAGGAGATAACACTACCGGTGAACACCGTCGGAACCGTTCAAAAAGCAAAGTTCTACGTGATCGAAGGAGATATGAGATACAATTCTCTGTTTGGGAGTCCATGGATTCACAACATGAGGGCAGTGCCCTCGACACTGCACCAGGTGTTGAAATTCCCAACACCAGGAGAGATTAAAATAATTTATGGAGAACAACCGACTGTAAAGGAGATGTTCACGATCGACGAGGTGGTCACGATATACGCACTTTCGACACCAAAGGATCTGAGCTCGGTCACCAAGGAAGAGACCAAATAGCAATTACCGACACCGGCCCCGACCGAACCAGAAAAGCAGGGGACTGGTGAGGATGACGACTACGGAGTTCCCAGGTATTTCATAGCCCCTGACGATTCCGATGCCACCAAATCAACGGTCGAGGAACTGGAGCAAGTCATATTGATTGAACACCTGGCCGATCGTAAGGTATACC